CGTCGTAGTAGTAGTCGTCGTCGTCGTCGTCGTCGTCGTAGTAGTGGTAGTGGTAGTGGTAGTAGTAGTAGTAGTAGTAGTAGTAGTAGTAGTAGTAGTAGTAGTTGTTGTTGTTGTTGTAGCAGCAGCAGCAGCAGCAGTAGTAGTAGTAGTAGTAGTAGCAGGAGTAGTAGTAGTAGTAGTAGTAGTAGTAGTAGTAGTGCCGTTCTGATTAGTACGACTATTACGGTTAGCATGATTCATCAATACCATCATTGTCATAGCTAGTATGAGCTTTCAGCAGGAGTTCATGACAGTAGGCGCCTCAATGAACGCCATAGTCCTGCAGTTTATGAAGAACGCCTAACCTAATACAACCCAATAACACTTCACCCGCAATCCCACCACCCGCCGGCCCTTGCAAAGCCTGCCTCCAGGCCGGGAGGTGCTTCCGAAACGTCCGGGCCGTCGATCTTGGAAGTGCCTTGTGCAAGCTTCATGTCAGCTATTACTAGTGCAATTATTGCTACTGCTTTATTACCCTAAACCCTAAACCCAAAACCCAAAACCCAAAACCCAAAACCCAAAACCCCAAACCCTAAACCCTAAACCCTAAACCCAAAGGCCTGGCAGAGAGGCCGCAGGAGTCGGAGGCGGCTCTGGCTCGGGCCTGCAGGCGTGCGCTGGGTTGTTTCGGGATCGCGGGTTTAGGGTTAGGGTTTAGGGTTTAGGGTTTAGGGTTTAGGGTTTAGGGTTTAGGGTTTAGGGTTTAGGGTTTAGGGTTTAGGGTTTAGGGGGATTTGGGGGATTTTGGAAGTTCGGGTTTGGAGGTTGAGGGTTTCGGGTGTAGAAGTTCAGGAATTGAACATTTCATCGCGCAGCACGTAAGGGAGCTTTTCGTCGCTGAAAACTGCGGGCAAAGGTTTTGCGGAAACGAGAACAGCACTCCACGTTCTGGGAGCATTTTCCAAGGCCTAGACTTGTCGTTCTAAGTTTTGGCTCGAGCTGGGCAGGTGGAGTCGGTCCGGTGATGACCAGGATTGCTTCTTGGGTTAGGGGTCACAGCATCCCACAGCCAACTGAAGCTAAGCGGCGGCTGCTGCGGCGGCACCACCTCCGATGTTGCAGCCTGTCTCAGGCAAAGGAGGCACGGAAAGTCAGAATGATCGTGGCAAAAACAGCAGCACTCTATATCCGAAGCTGAACATGCGGTGAAGACTACATGAACATAAGCCCAGAGCCCCACACCATTCAAGCAGTGTGCTTGTGGGGCAGTAGGACGACCCGACCTATCGCGCATGCTTTGCGGGGTCAGAAGCAGACGTCCTAGATGCTGCCCCCTATATCCACTGCCACTAACCCTCGTACGCAGCCACACCGAAGGTTTGTTTGAATTGCATGGAACTCTTCTATACAGAATCCATGATGCCAGCGTTCCTGTACAATGTCGGCAGAGCTACCGCAGAGTCAGCGCCACTGAGACGACTGCCACTCCGCTTTACAGAGGTCCAATGCTTCTTGGAAACCTAGAAACTCCTCCGAACGCTGTACATCCAGGTCAGACAAAAGATGAGGAAATGCTCCTCAAACATGCACGGGTGGCTCCTCCAGACCTGGCAGTTGGTTTCAAGGCACCAGGGTCGACTGGGTGGTTAGGGCTTCTTGCATTTTTATGTAGGTTGGAATTCCGACCGCTATAGGCAGGTCTTGCACTTGCGAGAGGAGCCTGAGCTCGGGTCGTTCTCTGCCACGAAGTCTTCCGGCAAAGGAATGGCAGCGGCAGCTTCGATCCTATCGGCATTTCTTTGCGGAAGGCCAGAAGCTCCAGGGCTTAGAGCTCGGGAACCGTAAACTTAAGGTGTAATGTAAGAGCCTTAATAATTAGAATAGGGTTTGGGGGGCCATTAGACTACAATTAAAATAAGGAACCCCCAAAATAATATAGGTGCTTGTAAGGCCCCTATATTTATATTAGTGGGCTTTACGTTTAGGGTCAAGGGACCTTCGGAACATGCTTTGGGATCTTGGGATAGCGGGCACGAGCGTGTTATCTCTTGGTTTCGAGGCAGGTCGGAGCTGTCGACGCCCCAAGCTGTTTATTTGCAAAACACACATGGGTGGTTGTCAAAATTATGGTCCCTTTTTGGGTCCTTATTATAATACGGCACCTATTATTTAGGGTACCCCAAAAGGGACCATAATTTTGACAACTACCCACACATTTTCAGGAGTCAGGAAATTATCAGTCAGGTATGCCGCCGTCCCCCAAATCCCGCCAGAGCAAGCTTGAACTGCAAAGCCCAATGCGGCTCAGGGCACGGATGTGGGATCAGGGACACGGAGTGGCCCGTGATGTTGAAGACCGTGTAGTAGAAGGCCCACAGAGGCATTCCGAGGATAATGTCACTGCTGTCTTGGGCATTGCCTTCAAGAGAGTTGTTGCCTTGGCAAGCCCTGGAGCACTTTTCGGGTGGGTCTTTTTTGAGTCCCCCATGCAAAGTTCTTCAAGACTGGGTGTGGAAGCTCATAGGGCTTTGGGTCTCGGGTTCATGTCAGGTTTCGTGTTCTTGAGCGTGTGTTTGTGGGTTTTCTGGCAATCTTTGCACACATGAGCAGGACGCTGAAAACGGATACGTGATGGGAGGACGCCTCAATCAATCTAGGAATCGTAGCTTTCCCAAAGACCACCCCGAAAACCCTGAAACCCGAAAATCCTAAACACAAGCCCTAAAGTTACAGCCCTTTAATTGGATGCAAACTCCTTCGCGGTGCAAGTTGCCCAGTGCGGCAAGATCGAAGGACACTGGCACTGCCTCTCCTGACGCCCCTTCAAGCCTGGGTTTGGGGTTTTCGGGTTCAGAGGTTTGGGGGTTCAGGGGTTTGTGGGGTTTAGGTGTTTGGGGTTTAGGGGTTTAGAGAAATTATGGCTTTCTGTCAGTGCGTGGGGCCTCACATTCAGCTTGAGAGTTTGGGATTGAGGTTTTGGGAACAGGTATGGGCTGGGTTTTTTTCCTTCCCCGC